CATGTTTGTGCCCCTTCGTTTCGAGAGATGGTGGCGCTTCGCGAACTTCCTGCACCATCGGTCCGACGCTGAAAGTTCTTTGCACGCGGGTCGTCCGGATACATTTCCACCACGAGCTTTCTCGCTGCGGCTACTTCCCCCCAAGTTGACCGACGAACTCCAACCGGTCGATGCCGGCTATGGACGCCTCCTCAAAGCCGAAGTTGGTAACGAGCTGGATGAATTTCTTGGGCACGTGGAAAACCTTTGTCTGTGGGAGACCAACAACGATGCAGCTGGTGCAAGGCGAATCCTTTTCACGCGATTCATTGCAAGGGCGGTCGCGCGAATGGACGCTCGGCCTAGGTACCGCCATCACCTGTTCGAGAAGACCGGACTGGCGATGACGCAGACGGGTCATTGGACGACCGCATCACTCCGGAGGGTGTAGTTTGGGCGTACAACTTCATGGACGGGGGCACGAGCAGTGACGAGGAGATGCCCGACCAGGATGATGAGGTCGGCGACGACGATAGGGGAGCGGGCGGTGGCGAATCAAGCTGCGACAGCAACGCAAGCGCAGATGATGATGGTAAGTTTTCGAGTCTAGGTCCGGCTTGTATTTCGCCTTTGCCCCTCGTTTTGCATGCACTGGTGGGGGGCTGTGAATTTGTTCAAACGCGCGTGTCTCACGCCGGCTTTTTCTCGACAATTTTTTCACATCGCTTCATTTGCTAGGTGATGACCACGGCGATGTATGTTCAAGACCCCCTGTCACAGCTAGACAGCGACGACGACTTCGACTCCGACGATGACATCATCGCGATGGAGCTTCCGGTCGGATTCCGTCTTCAAGAGTCACCTCCAGAAAAGCTGGATCGTGCATTGGTTAACCGTTGGGTGTTCTTGAGGCGTGGTATGGGGTGGTTCTCGGGGCAGATCAGCCGGACAGCGCCCCCGCAAACTAGCCAGACGTACGACTACCGCGTGGTTTTGGCGCACGATCAAAGCACCATCAGTGTGAAGATGCCTCTAGATGCATGCGATGTAGACAAGGCGAACGCAGCCGTAGGAGCGTGGGCGTTGATCGAGCCGATCGACGATTCGAATGTGCCGGCGGGGGGGTGTGAGGGTGAACAGCCACGCCGGCAGGGCAGTAGGGCGCGAACCCCAACGTTCGCAACATCGATCAACCGGGATAGAGCATGCCAAGTTGCGACAACTTCACCAATCGATTTCGAAGGGCGTTAGGGATATACGGAGTAGTTTGTCCGCACGCACATTAGCACAATGACTTTGCGCTTCTTTTTTTTCAGTTCAGTACTCCCGGGTGTCGTGCAAGCATGTACCCCGCGAGTAGTGCAAAGCTTCGTGGCTGGAAAAGGAAATAGGTATGATAAGAAATCGTGCTGTTCGCATGGTGGCGAAAAGAAAGGAAATGGCGAAAATAAGAAATCGTGCAATTCTCGTCGGGGAAAAATAGGAAATGCCGACTGAGAAATTTAGCTCACTTATGGCTGCGGCAATAAGGTTTGAGCCTCAGCTGAAATAGGTGTTTCTTCTAGTGGGCCGGCACTGCTGTAACCTAAAACACAAGAACAGCGTCGCCGGCAATCGATGATCTTGCCCCCGGCCCGCAAAATGGACGGCTCCTTTGACCAGACAACAAAAAAGCATCGGTCTCAATTGAAGGCTAGAAGGATGGAGAGGTGGAGGAGAAAGTAGATATGAAGATATGTGTACCTAAGTTTCGGGCAGAACGATTGGATCGGGATAACTACGTGTAACGGTTTGGGGTCTCTTGCTGATCACAGTTTAGGGCAAAAAAGCAAACCTACTTGTGTATCTATCTCTCGCCGCGGCAGCGAAAGACAAACGTACCATGGAGTCGCAAGATCCCAGGACCCTCTACCATCCTCGGGCGTCCTATCGCAAAGCATCATTGGCACTGCTGCTCATGACTGCAGATTTTTTCGCGGTGTGGAGCTCATCTATGCAGCTGCATCTGATCAAAATCAACTTGGAGTGTGAATGCACACTTGACAATAGACGTGGCATTTGTCCCCACTCGCATGCGCTCCGATGGAGATCTACAGCAAATGTGTACATATATCCGTCACATTTTCGTAACTGGAGATTGCCTGCCTTTTTGTTCGCGAAAAAGGACAAGCCGGCAGGTCGCAATGACCATGCCTGTACCCTCCAACAACCTCCCGTCTCTTACCGCAGACCACTACTGGCACTACCGTTCATATTTGCCGAACTCCTTCGCGGCCTGGCACTCGTCCGGCGAGGTTGCAACTGCAAACACTGCTCTGCGCACATGCACGCAGGACCAGAACACAGAACGCGCACTGACGCACGGCGATCTACGACAGGCCTGCGTTTCTACCATATATTCTTCGAAGATCCTGCTGTTTTTCGAAAATTTTGGCCGGAGATCACACATCTTACTATGTGTAGCTAAGAAGAGGAAAAGGTGAGCGAGGGAGACCACACACACCTAGAAACATCCGGAGCAGCCGGCCGGGTAGCAAGAGCCGGAGGGAGGTCGTTGCCACCGGGTTGTACAACAGACGCCTGCACGGTTTCGTCGCGGCTCCTACCAAGGGTGATAGAAACGACTACCCCCATTACCTGCTGCCGCTCACCTACTACGATAGTTACGCGCGCAACGCACGGCATCATCTCAACGGTTCTTGTTTCCGGAGGTCGGGCCACATATTTTTGGGCCTGCAGCCATCTGCTACCATTTTTCGGTGTGTGCCAAGCTCGCGCCGCTCCTAGATGGTGCCGGAGGAGACCACCGCCGAAGCGTCTGAATGGCCTTCCCTGCTGTCCTCCTTCACCGGGATGCTGATGGAGGGGCGCATGCTGGGCGTGTTTGGCTCGAACGACAGAGCCGCGGCGGCGTCTGAGGGCGACGAGGGCAGCCGGCCAGAGCACTCGCGGCAGGGGGAGGAGGAGGAGGGGCAGGGTTCGAGAAGTCAGGAGAATAAGCCGGTAGTTTCGAGCGCCACGGAGCCGGCGGTGCTTGAGACCGACCTGCCGGAGCTTGGGCGGCTAGAGCGAAGCATGACCGCGGATGACTTGCTCCCGCGTCGCGAGCCGGCGCCTCCCAGCGGCAACCAAATGGCGGTCAGTTCAAAAAACACCATCACAAAAATAGTTCATGCGTGAGGTTCCACATACTCCGTATATATTTAGCTCTATCACGGTGTGCGTCTCTCATCATCTCATCACAGCAAGTTTTTATGAGGATTTTGTGTGTCGCCGTTTTTCCCGTGCTTTTTGGCTCCTTCCCGTTCGACGAACGTATATATCGTCAGATCAGAGGTGCGGGCGGGCTCATCTTTATTTTCCGGCTCCCCTCCTGCCCCCCCTCTAGTTCCGAGCTCTCGCTGTGCCCTCTCTGAGGTGAACAGCCCCCTTTCCCTGGCTGCCGTTCTTTTCAATCCCACAGCGTAGCGGGCGGTGGATGGAATCCAAACCACCCCAGGGAAAACCGCCGTGTTTCTCCTGTCCTCCTAAAAATTCTCTTCCCGCATGGTGCCTCCCAAGTTACTCCGCTCCTTACTTAGGCGCATGGTTGCCTCTATCCATGGTTTGTACCATGGTATGTAGAAAAGAGAAACCGCTTGCATACCACCACGACAAGTATAGCGGCGGACCTCTTCTTCCACCACGCCAGCAGAATACTTGTACATGGTTCGCTTGTTGTGCACGTTCTTGTGGCGCGCTGCAGCAGCACCGCATGTATTTCCCGGGGTGTCTTGCCCCGCGGGCTCACCCGAGCTTGGTGCTGGTGTGTGCAGGCATCACACACACACACACGCTTCCTAGAACACCTGTGTTCCCTGCGCAAGCTGCCCCTCTCACTCATGTTTTTTTTTGGCGATGATGGATCTACATCTGCCTACCTGCCTGCCCGCAGGGTAACAACAACCGCCTATCTGATGGCCGTGTTGCGGGGAAGGTTACGGCCATGGAGGCAAGACGCACAGCAGCAGCAGCAGCAGCGGCGGCACCACCAGCGGCAAGAAAGCTATTCACTCCCGCAACGGTATGTCACTCGGCAAGTTATCATCTTTGTCCGCAGCCACCACCACCACTGCTGTTTGCGGCGTTCGTAATTGTTGGGGGAAGTTCGATGGTGTTTGTTTAGAAATATATATATATACATCGTGCAACAATGGTTACCCATTTGAGATGACCACGGAAATCGACCGTGCATATGTAGACTAGATACGGGCAGATCAAGGTACTGGGTAGAGAGGAACGGTATACTTGCGAATTCAACAACAACAACAACAACAACAACAGAGTGGAAGTTTTCCGTCGAGGTGTTTTGGCTTTCATGTGTACATAAGCCAAGAGAAAGACTATCCGTTCGAGAGTTAACTCAACACAAGAGGGGTTTGTTCGTGCATGATGTTGCCGTCGGCGAATCGGTTGGACGAACGCGGAGCAAGATTTTCCCTAAATTTTGTATCTAAAGCGAGATGGATTTTTTAGCCCCGAGCCCAGGCCGCAACCCCGCGAGAGAGGTGGATGACATCTCACGTGTTCACCACTGCTGCTAAGCAACTAACTGCTGCTGCTGCGACGCTCAGAAACATCCGCGCACGGGAATGGTTGAAGAGGTCTTGGTGGTGGAGTGGCAGCATAGGTTCAGAGTTTTTCTGCAAAAATAGCCCGGAAGACATGCATTCCGTTTCGGTTGTTTTTTTGGGCAGCAACGAGATATAGATAGTTCTGGCGAGTGCACGAATACGACGGGTCCGCCAGAGCCAGTGGGCACTACCACTGCTGTCGGTTATGTCTTGACCGCACGGACGCAGACACAATATGTTGTACATTGTACATCTTGGTCCCCCCTCTCAAACATTCGCATCCGATGGCCTCTCACGCTCGCTCTCCCATGGGTACCGTACAATGTAGACCGAGGGTGCTTGACTACGACCTCGCACAAAACATGAAGGTTGCCTCTTTTCGGGTACGCACTACACTCACGCGCCAACTCATCACAAAACATCAATCCGCCCCCCCACCCACCGACCCACCCCAAGTCACACCTGACGGCAAGAAATTGGATACAACCCCAGCAAGTAACTCGGCTTCACTTTGAAAACATCAACAAAAAGACTATCCGCTCGGTACAGTACCCCCATTTTCTCGACAACTATGCGCTTGTGATCATCTGGGAAACCCACTTTGCGGTTCTTGTCCCCCGCGGACGGTGGTACGCCACCCCCTCCGCGGAATGGGTACCGTACAATGTAGACCGAGGGTGCTTGACTACGACCTCACACGAAATATGAAGGTCTTGCCTCTTTTCGGGTACGCACTGCACTCACGCGCCCACTCATCACAAAATATCAATCCGCCCCCCCACCCACCCACCCCAAGTCGCACGTGACGGCAAGAAATTAGATTCAACCCAGTAACTCGGCTTCCCTTTTAAAACATCAATAAAAAGACTATCCGCTCGGCACAGCAGTACCCCATATTTACGATACCTACGCGCTTGTGATCATGTGGGAAAACCCACTTTGCGGTTCTTGTTCCCCGCGGACGGTGGTACGCCACCCTCTCCACGGAATACTGAGAACCGACGATACCACTGCTACTGCTGCTGCGGTACGCACGCATGCATACGACGCTGATGGCTATATTTTTTCTCCCCAAAAAAATCAAGGCACTCTCGGACAAACACGTTGGGAGGGTGAAGAACGTAAAACGTGGACAGCGTCCCTGTTTATGTCGAGAATGCCGAGTTGTAAATAGCCGTTGGGTTTGTGCGTACTTGGATGTATCGTATCCGTATCTATGTGCTATATAGGAGTACAATTGTTTTGCCTTGGCGTTTGTTTAACTTTTTCTATGCGCCTCGTCTGCGGCATTTCTCGCGGCGTGTGCCGCGATGTTGTACGAAGCACGCCCGTAGCCTGCCTGTATCTGCTGTGAACATACACCAAGGAGAGAAAACCGTGCATGCACAAGGCTCCCGAATCGCAAGAATGAACGCCATGGCCAGGTCTCGAGCGAGATCTCTGTAAATGTAGCTACCTGCGTGTTCACGCTGTATAAAATGGTACAAGACCTTCAATTACTTTCGTTGATCCCTTCCCCTCCTCTTTCCCTCCCCCCAGCGGCCGCTACGACCCAGTGGTGCGGCGCCGCCGCCCCCCACCGGCGGGGGATTGAGACCCACTTCTACCAACAATCCCAGCGTTTCGGCTGCCGCCACGACGACGGCGTGCTACAAAGGGGTTTCCCCGTGCGGCGGCGGCGGCATCACCGGCGCCGCCGGTGCCGGCGCCACTCAAAGGTGGGCGCGCGCCGGCGGAGGGGCCACGGGCTCGAGCGCGTCGACCGTGGTTCCGGGGATATCCCCGGTCGCGCCCGACGCGCGGACGGAGGCGGGCAGGGGCTTCGGGTCTATCTCTGCGGGAGGGATCAAGAAAACGCTCCCCGCTACCGCCGACGCCGACGCCGACGCGCGCAATAGCAACAGCAGCATGAACAGCAACAGCAACAACAACATGAACAGCAACGTCAGCAGCATTCCGCCCCCC